TGGCGCAGAAAGCGAGCTCACACACGCAGAGGGAGGGCGGTGTGTGGAGAGAGAGAGAGAGAGAGAGAGAGAGAGAGAGAGAGAGAGAGAGAGAGAGAGAGAGAGAGAGAGAGAGAGAGAGAGTGCGGCAAGAACAGCCTGTCGGCAGGGGCACAGTAGCAAGCAGAGTCAACCATGTACGCATAGAATCGGAAAATTAACGCAAATTTGAACAAACTAACTCGTAATGAGACACCACCAAAGCTCAGACAAAAAGATCACTATCGCAACTTCAACCTTCAAAAACATACATTCCGGAAAAACGGGTATGCATAAGTCTTCCCACAGTCTTCCCACTTGCCACCTTAACCAGATCTCCCATCAACTCGACAGTGCGGCCCTTCTACCAGTTTCATCCGTCCGCGACGGAATCTTCAGGAAGGTGGGTTCCACCGATGTAATGACACTGGGCCGGGTTTTTCGGGCGTGCTGCTTTCCACCGATGTAACGACACTACCTAGTACTACTCACACGAGTGCTACCCTAAGGGCCTCATTCGACTCCATTTGAACTCAAGGAAGGATTGACGGAAAATTCTTCGTTCCACCCCTCCCTAATGACCCCTCCGTAATGTTTTCACTTTGCATTCCTGCTCTCAGGGCATGCTCACACGGCGACCGCAGATTTCCAAAAATTTCTCGGCCTTTTGGCTAAGATCAAGTGTAGTATCTGTTCTGATCAGTTTAATATCTGATCCGTGACCCATCGGGTCACACAAAGAAAAGAAAAAGAAAAAAAAAATTCCCAAAAAATGCTGATTTGGGAATGCCGGATTTGTGGTTTTGAGTACCCAGCCCGTCACACTCCGTTCCCCTTTGTAATAAGACATGGTCGGGGCCGAGTGCCTAAATGGGGATTTGGGGAATCGCTCGTGACACCTAGGTAGCCGGGTTTTTGTTTCGGTTTTTTTTTTTTTGGTCTCTTGCGTTATGCACGGCGCGCATCAACCGCCACACGGGCTTCCTGGAGTGGGCCCCCAGGCTGGTTCACGGGCCTGATGCACTCCAGCACTTTTTGGCTCTCCCATTCACCAGCACCTCAACGGAGCGACGGCCTTTGGCTCAGCGCCGGCCTTTGGCCCATGGGCTTCGAGGAGCACCCTTCAAGGCTGGTTCACGGCCCGTAAAGTGGACAGTGTGCACCAGCCTGGGAGCATACCATGTGTGTACTGGTTGGGAAGGGGTGAGGCACAGGGAGCACCATAAGCCCTCAGCGAAACAGCAGCGCAGCCACGGGGATGAACTGTGGAGAGTTGCGGGTGGGCTGCGGAGGTTGGCGGAAGAACTGTGCAGGCAAGGGGGAGGAACCACGAAGGCAGGGGAAGCAGCTGCGGAGGCAGGGGGAGGAACTGCGGAGGTGCGTGGGGACCTGCGGAGTTGGCTGGTAGCTACGTGACACCCGTGTCCTAGGCCGTGGGCGGAAAAGTTGGCCGCGACCCCGGCCAGGAGGCCTAATTTGCAGCCCGATTTTTTGGATTTTTTGGATTTTTTGGGGTGGAGGGGAAATTCGGGAAAAAACAATAAACCCCATAATTTTGTTTCTCAGTTTGACTTGATTTACGAATTAAAAAAAAAAAAACGAAAATTGGTAAAAAAAAAAACAGAAAAAAATAAATGAATAAATAAAAGAAAACGAGGAACTTTTTTTTGCCATTTTTTTCATGACCGATATGGAGCTAGACTCTGCTACAGTCCTCGTAAAAATTTTGCACATGTAATTTTCTTTTTTCTTTTTCGTCCTCTGCTTGTTCTTCTTTAATGTTTTTTTTTTTTTTTCCCTTCTTCTTCTTGAAACGGTATTCACCAATTCGTGGTAGCTGAGGCAGATCCCAGGGCTTGATCCCTAGTTCCCCAACTTACCTGTGTATAATATCTACGTCAACTCGAAGAGTTGAACCTGCGACCTGTAGAACCGCCAGTGGTAGGTAGATTGTCGTAGGGTACAGGATAGACTGGAATCGAACTGTAGACCTGTAGGGTAGAAGTCTAGACAGTTCCGGAGTTGTAGCTGAAGACTGCCTGAAGAGTCAAGGT